GAGCATAGAATGTTGCGCTTTTCAGCACATCTTGATCCCTGCCAATCAAGGCGGTTCAACAAGGTATTGGCAAACCGCAGCCCACAATGGCCAACGTTTGGCGCTGCCCACCTGATGTCTAAGACACTGTTCAAACCTCCCTCAGGTTCCCTCTGCTTGAACCCAAATTGCCCGGTTTCTCGCCCACCTTCCCGGTTCCTCCTGGTTCCTCCTGGTTCCTCCTGGTTTCACCTTGGTTTCGAGGCCGATCTATTTTCTTCAGGCGGGAAAGCCACACGTCCGGCTCGCCTGGGGAAAGGCATACATGGCCCCCTCGATGGGCAGACTCTGCACCCCAGGCATGGCGTTCAGCTCACGGCTCACAAGCTGCGCCTGGCAAGCGGCTGCCTTTGATTTCAAGGTACCTACGTCTTATTTTCAGCTGGTTTGGCTTGACCTGAGTCATGACCTAGCTTAGGTATTTGCAGGGGCAACTGCCAGCACAACATAGCTCCCTCGCAACATGAGAAGCATTGAGACTCGGACCTAAAGGAACAAACAAGAAACAGCGAACCGAGCAGGCCCTGCTGAATTGGAACCTGAGGAAACCTGCCTGGAGAGTACAATAGATGCTATATGCACTTATAGGCAGCGCCGCCAATTCTGAGGCTTTGTACACTGACACGCTCTTCAATCTGGATCCTGATGTCAGTATGTGTTGGAGATGGATGACCAGCAAAGGACCGGGCCAACAAGCCAAAGATAATCCATGAAGAAAGCCACAGTCCCAGGCAAACGAGCAAATTCAAGGGACTTGAAGAATGCCACTCGATTTACAGCAGGCACATGCGACCGGGGCATCCGGCCCCGGAAGGTGTCGTGGCCACGGCCTTCTTGGTGAGGTTTGCCAGCACGTCACTTCGCTCCTCGGCCACGGAGTGCTGAAACCCTTCTTCCCAAAACTCGAAGACAGTCCTAGCCTCCACTTTCAAAACGTGTTCAAGAGGGCTTGGAGTCTACCAAAAGCCTTCCATCAGCCTCTGCGTCAAGCTCCTTGTGTCGTGGTTTAGCAACGCCTTGAACAAAAAGTCATCAAAAAGCCATTGAAAGCTTCGCTCCGATTCTTCCCCCCAAACAAGCAGTTGAAACCGCACACCCTGAAGCCCTGGTGAAAGAAACATGTCCCCGAAAAATCATCAGGAAAGGCTGCAAAGAAAGGCATCCGAACCACCACACCACTCAAAACTGTGATGACCGTATCCCCACTTATCAACCAACACATCCAGTGCTCGCCATGCTCATCCCCACAAATAACTTCAGAGGCAGCAAGTCGCACAAAGCAATTTTGCACAACTTCATGGCTGAAGTTCTGGGAAGTCGTCAGTGAGAAACGCAGTCGGATCAACACGCAGTTTCTTCTTACCCCCCCTACATTTCGACCGTTGTGTCCCCGCCTGCGCAAAGAGGGCATAGGAGGCATCACCCGGCACTGGCGGATTGAGAATCGAGGCCATCAGCGCCTCCGACTCCGGGACAAGGCAAACAAGTCACGGCAAACTCCCTGATGACTGCCCTAAAACTACAGAAGGATCACCAACAGAGTGGCTCCATCTTAGTCTTTTAGGGTAGCTGTCACGCCTGTCCCAGCGTGTTGGCGCACAGGATCATGGAGAAGAGCTTGTAGATTTGGTCCGCGGCGCCGGGGTCGATGTTGGTCAAATGAAGCACGCCGCCTGCGCTGAAAGAAAGGCGTCCGACCAGAACTTAGAAGGGCCCGAACTGCGCATCCAAAGGCAACAGCTGCCTTCTCCAAATGCTCTTCATGAATTCTCCAGCAAGCAAACTAAACCGAACAATGAGCGTCAAAAGAACTTTGCGTTGCGTCGCAGGGAATCAATTGTACCTTGAGGTTCCAGTGGCGAAACTTGTGGATTTAAATCCGAGTTGCATATTAGATGACTATGTGACCAAAAAAAAACAACATCTGCCGTTTGCAGCAAACTCCAACAAGTCAACCCAAGCCCCTGAAACGATCCCCATATTCAATATGCGAGGGAACCGAGGATAAAACAAACACAGACCCCTTGGTCTTTGAGCCGATTTTGCGCCCAGTGGGAGCCAACCCGACTCGGTCCTCGGAGACCGCACTCTCCATAGTAGCCTTTTGACATGGAGTGGAACCTGGCGGAATTTTGGCTCGAGTCTGAAACCAAAATCCCAATCGCAGAGGTAGAACATTCGTGCCTGGAGCGAAACCAGAACTTGGGGGTGTTCTTGCCTTGCCAATGCTCCAAATGTTCCAAAAGCAAACATGTGCATGATGCACATGGCCGAAGACCTGGTCTCTCAATAGCACCTGGTAAGCACGAAGCCGACACAGTACGCAGGCGAGTAAAGAGCGGGGCACTTTAGATCACTTTAGACATGATGAGAACAGCGGCAGCAAAACTGTCAAAGTTCTCACAAAATGCAGAATTCCCTCCAAAATGCGACACTTTTTCCTCGATCAATCTCGGGCTCCTATGGGTTCCCATGACTTCAGGTCAAGGCTGACCTCTAGCTTTCGGTGGCGACATAACCCTGATAAGACTGTAGGGGAGGTGCTTGTCAGCCAAGAACCCCCAACAGTTCCTAACAACTGTCAAATGGTTTGCTACTTGACCCTCTTTGGTCTTTTTGGAGGCCATTTCATCGCTTTGGTCAGGCGAGTCCTTTCACTGTTTAAACACATGCAGGGCTCGCGAGAACAGCTCCACTGGCAAATTCAACTCGTGCACCGCTCGCCTGGCGAAGGAATGATTCAGCGGTCCTCTCTGAAACGCAGTGCGTCCAGTTCCCACCACATGGAAGCTGACAGGAGTCCTGAGGGGTTTGAAATCCTTTCCGTTTGGGGAAGCCCCTTGTCCACTTCCAGGATTCTTGGATAGAGGGTAGCTTTGGGTGACGTTCTGGAAGTCAAGTTGCGCATCACCCCGAAATCTGCAGAAAATCCAGATCGGCTGCATCTCCACCCAAGTCACTTCCGAACTGCAAGGAACAACAGAGTAGGTAGGCATTTTACCTCTAGGTTTACAATTGGCGCCCCCTCGCTGACGAAAGTGGCAACTGGAAGCACTGCGAAACCTTGAAAGCCGCTTTTTTTTGCTGGACAGAGGGACAGCTTAGGGGAAGGGCCAGAATTTGCACAAATATGAAGCCCCGTACTTCGGCCTCAATGGTTTGCCATGAAACAAAGCAAACAGGAGTCGGGAATGTTCGGATTGGCTTGTCTCATTGCAGTCAGCCCACAAAGGCCGTCCAATCCATCCGATCCCCTGGCCTGAACGAGATGAACTCCCTGTCCTCCCGGAAGATGTTGTCCTGCAATCCCACTTGGGGGAAAAACATGGGGTCCTCCATAGATTAGTTCCCCTCAATGGGGGTTCTTCTGGGTATCATTGAGACTTCGAGTCCAGTTTGCAGCAGAAAACCCCAAACACGCCCAATTCCCTCAAGAAGGTGACCCCCCTCCGTACATTAGGTGGGGCGAGCAGGCGGAAAAGCAGGCTCTTGACAGGCTGATCGCGTGTCCTGGTAGACTTCGTCGGCCAAGATCACAATCTCGGCGCTGGTGCCCCTCCCTCCAACACTTATTGAAGCTAACATGAGTGTGTTGGAAGACTACTTATTCTGTTGGGGAAGCCTCCTCTCCGCTTCCATACTTGTTGGAAAGAGCGTAATTACCCTCCGAAAAACATAACCGAACGAGCTACCCCCCGGAAGATCTGCTTTCATGATCGTTGCCCACAAGGTCGGTGACCACAATTCATTGTTTGAATATCTCAGCGGGGGCATCGTGACTTCAATAAACTGCCGGCCTCAAAGAGAACCAACGCACACTGAAGAAAGTCTAGCGCCCATGTTAACCCAGTTCGTGTAATTTGTGCTGGTATCCTTGCTCGACCAAAAGCATTGTGAAGCAATGCACAAGCCAAAGACAATCGCAGTTGCCAAGTTTTGCTGCGCGCCAGCCCTCCCTCTCCATCCTTCCATTCATGAGGCTCACTCTCCAAGAATACGAACCATTTGGAGCTACATTAGGCTGGAACAACGCTTTCCTAAGAATTCATGTAGATCATCGTTCATGACCCAGGTGACTTTGCTCGATGATCACGCTGGACACACTCCTGTCCGGTCTTTGCGCATGGTCCCTCTCTCAACACCAAGGCTGACTCCTTGAAAGAAGGATTTCGGTGGAAAAAGGCGAATCCGGGTGCTTCAAGATGGGAGATCCCTAATCCGAATCCTTAATCCGGAGTGGGACACCACTACAACAACGAAACTCACTAAGGCTTAAGATTGGGTTTAAACGATCCAGCTAATACCAGCCGCATGTGCTATCCCATCTTTGAGCGAAGCTCAATGAAGTCAAAGACCGTAATTAGTGGGTTGTTTGAGTCTTTATGAGATGAGCCTCGTTCAAATGCAGGACAATCCTGACTACAAAGGCTCGCAAAGAATCCGTGGGCTGTACTGTGTGCGAGTGCGTTACTTTACCAACATTCCTCGAGTGTCCAATGCACAGCCACATGCTGATATTCAGGTGTCAGCACTTTTAAACATTAATGATCTAACGATATCTTGCCTTTCGCCGCCTTTCAGCAGAGTTGAACAATTATATACCCCCTGACATGCAACATGCCCAGCACTATTGACAGGGAAGGGGAGGTTTGCCTTCTTCAGCCTTTAGCAAAGCCAAGCTGCTCCATACTTCGAGCAAAGCCTGACGCGTTCCCGGCGAGGCTGGGCATCTTGTCCACATGGTCAAAAATCCGCTCGGGATAATTCCGATTCGGGTCTGCGTTTATGAGTCTTGCGTCGTTGCGTTGAACCCCCAGCACTGGCCTAGAGAAAAGGGGGTGCAACATATACACACCATGAGTATGCGTAAATGCATTATATATGCATATATACACATAGGTTGAATTATTACTTAGCCTTTATATGCGTAGTGACCTGTTCCATGATTGTGGCCTGGCACCCCAATGCACCACATGTGTTTGGCGTGATTGGCTCCAGCCTCACCATAGCGTCTATCACATCGCGCGTCAGGACCATGCTGGTGGGATTGCCTGGATTGATCACTGCCTGGGCGTCAGGAGAGAGCTCCTGAAAAGCCATGTTCCGGTGTTTTTGCTACTAGCCCCAGCTTTTTACTGGCCCCGGCTCAGCAAAGGCCCCTCCTCATGTGCCTTTAAACCGGTTGGCTGGGAACCCTTAGGTTGGGGGGCAACAGGCGGTATTATTCTCTGGGGCCTGGTTGGCCAGGCTGCGGGTGCTTTTAATGAGGGCGGGTCGTGGGTGTACCAACCAACCAACCAACCAACCAACCAACCAACCAACCAACCAACCAACCAACCAACCAACCAACCAACCAACCAACCAACCAACCAACCAACCAACCAACCAACCAACCAACCAACCAACCAACCAACCAACCAACCAACCAACCACCTGACCGGGGTTAAGCTCCGGCCGGGGCTAGTTAGAGAAGAAGTCCCATACATTCATTTGCACTTCATCGGGACCGCTCAACCTGCCCTTCCATACATGTCAGGAACCCCATCGACTGAGAGCAGCGCAATCCCGCGCACATGCCCTCCAGTGGCAATGAAGTCCTGCAAGGGGTCCGCGGAACTGGTAGCAGGTTCCCTTTGTTTTCCCTTCAAATATTCACCAACAGGGGGGCCAACATTTTGAACAACTCTCATTAGCACAAGGACCGCGATAGTTAGAAAGGGGTTGTGGGATACTGGTATTCCATATTTAGTCATTTTGGTGGAGACCACTTGTATGATGTAGCCCCTGATACTAATGAAAACATGCCAAACAACTCGGCCAAAACGTCCGGACAAGCTAGTCCGGACAAACATTGGGACATATTTTGGAAGTGGTCCCCAAACCATCGAATCTCAGATAATTGTTTTTCAAAAAGTAAGGGCAAACAGTCAAAGGGTTTGCCCACAAGAGTGACTGTTTTGGGAAACGCATTCATGTCCGCCTTTTTTGAGCAAAGCTGGGCAATGTTAAATTTAGAACTTGCAATACTCAACTACGTACTAGGAATCTGAGAGTCAGTCTTGCCAATGCTAAGCTAGAATGGACAATGCTAAATTAAGGACGGGGAATCTATGGCAATACTAAATGTTAAATTTAGAATTGGCAAACTAAACAAAGTACTGGGAATCTGAGAGCAAGGCTTGGCAATACTACATGTAGAAGTAGCAATACTAAAGTAAGCACTAGCAAGGTGAAGTCGAATCCAGACCCCAGGTTTTTCACTAAAGAGACCCCGGTGACTAGTTCCACACTGTGAGGGGGGGCGGAGGGTAACATTAAAGCAAGCCCAACATTACCTGCCACTGCGACAATTCGAAGGATCTCACCCGCTCTTTGCAACAAACTCTACTAAAGTCGGCGAGACTTTGGCAACTCGTTGAGTCATCAACTGGTTGACCAACAGGTAGGTGTCCGGTTTAGAGTTGGAAGGCTTCACTATTGTGGCACGACATGAATCCGCAAGGTGCGGTGTCACTCAACTCCGGGCTTGAGTGTTCCTCTTTTCAGAACCCCCTCCCCGCGACACCGAAACAAAACGGACCATGTTGGGTCCAGTGAGACGAATTGTTTTGCACCTCCAAACCAATCCGAGTTCCTGGATCTTCTTCTCGATCAGCTCGACATCGATGGCCCAGCCTGGCAACCCCACAGGCCAGCTACAAGCCAGGGTGAGTGACCCCTTGGGCCAAAAAATCCGGCTGGATCCCAAGGCTGCGGCTCAAAAATGGAATTTCCAAAATGGCACTTTGGATGTGAAAGACTAAAAACCTGCAGGACCCGTCTGGAACTTTGAGCCACAGCCAGTGTGGAAACCCTGATCAAAGTCCCCTTCCGTCCAGAAGTGTGCCAAAAGCCAAACCTGCAATGGTCTGCTCTGAGCGGACGCTCGAATTTGCTTCATAGCCAGTACCGCAAAGCCGCGGCAAAGCCCTGTGGAATGCCGTCCATCCAGCAAGGCGATGCGAACGTGCCGGTCAATGGAAAGACGTCTCCTTCTCGATGGTCTTGGAACACTGGTCGCTGAAGCAGTCAAAAAACTACAGAGGCCCAAGCAGGCGTGTGCAGAAACAAATGTCTCCACAAGCTGTTTACGGATTCCCTTGAGCACTGGACAAGAGTGTTGTCCATTGATTTGGCGGCGCGGGAAAGTCAAACATATTCATCCCCTCAATCGTTTCCCGGAAAACCAAAAGGACCCCCCCCCACCAAGAAAAACAACACTTGGGATGCGGCTATTGTGCGAAGGGTCAAAGCATTCCTCATTCAATCCTCGCCTCAAAAACCCAAACTTGCCCACCGGCCTTTGCCGGAGGCATAGTCTTCTGTCAGCTCATAGCCAATCGCTGTACCGCCCAGCCGTGTAATGGCAGCCTGGGAAAGGCGTCGCTTCTCTGTCGAAACTCCTAGGCCTTGGGCGTGGCATGCTGTTGACAGCTGTTCTCATGACGGCGTCATCACCAAAATCAAAACAAGTCTTGCGACTACGGATCTCGTTGCCAAAAGCTGAAAGGGATTGTATTGACATGTATTGACCTTAGGGGTTGCCAATGGTTGCCACGAGTAAACTAGGTTCTCCGGCTTGAAAGAGCCGCTTGCATGACTCTGAGTCTTGAATGACATACCCCGGAAGCAAGGATCCTGAGCAATGCCCCTAAAGGATTTGTTCGGGGGGGTCTTCCAGGAGAGACTCCCGCAAACAGGGTCGGCATTGCCCACTTGTCTGATACTGGACCTATCGCAGAAGTTGTCCATCTCTCTACTGTCCTTCCCAAAGGGGCTGACGGAAGTTTAAGAAGGTTCATATTTCGGAAGTTTGCATTTGGCCGTCGCAGGTTGGAAGACCGTAGTGGCGATTGATCCAAATCTTCAGCTTTCATGAGCAAGGTGCTGTTCATCCTACTCCAAACGGTGACAAACCCAAAGCTCCAAACCTCGATCCGCTTCAGGTGAGATGGTAGAAAAACTTCTTGTGGCTAACATCTTGGTCTTTTCAGTCAACCCAGCAACCGACCAAGGGGACTTGGAGGGTGCCACTGAACCATAGACTGCAAAGGACTCGCCGCGGCGCCATTTCACTTGCCGGTTCTCAGGATTCGAAACGGTTTTTGGACAACCTCATTCGGGACCAACTTGAAACCCCATGTTCCGAGGGATCCCTTTAAAATAATTTAAACCCCGCAGTTGGATGGTTCAGGGTCCCAACTCTGAGGAGCCCGCGGAGTACAGCGGGTACTGAGGGATCGGAATCAGCAGGCCATCTTTGGGCCCGTCGATCATGACCTGCGCAAGGCCTTCCTTTGGAAGGTCAGTGCTTCAAGAGAAAACGGCGTGGCCCTTGTGTGGTGGATTTGCCGATTCTTGGCGTTTGAGTTTGATGTTGGGGTGATGTTCAAAGTAAAGCCAGCAAAGCAAGAACAGAATACTGGGCAACCTGGCTTGATTTCAATGCAAAGCCCACGGAACAAGAAGAGGACGAAACACGTGCTACTGGATGACCGTAAAGATTCGTTCAACCCACGGAAGCCGATGCAATTCTTGCATGGGGAGCTTCTGGGGCTTACGAACTGCCATGTTCACAATCACAACCACGATTCCACGACCAAGGCGACTTCACAAGTCTCCAAACAGCGCTGGCAAGATTCAGAATCAGCCGGTTTGTCTTGGCTTGGATCACGTACGACTCCACATCACTGGATGGTTCATGCTGTGAGCGCGATACGAATCAAATATGTTGAACATTGTCGTGAACTGGCAATCCAACTTTGACCTGGACAATCGGACATCATGAAGTGGGTAGGATATATGTGAAGTTGCCCAGGGTCAGTGTTCGAGAGCGGTCCATTGACGCTTGGCCCGTGGCAAGCCGCGCCACTGCGGCAAACAGCTCCAGTGCCCCGTCCTCCGGCCTCCAAAACCGTTTTGACCCCGGAGGACGCGCCATCGGTCAGGAAAATGTCCTCGCACGTCACATCTACTCACTGACCGATTTTGCGGGAAGCAACGGGCTAGCTTGTTGGATTATGGCCCCATGGCGAAAGGCTGGGCCCTTCCTTTTCCGCCGAAACCAACTTCACTGGAGAGACACGAGTGCGTATGAGAGATCAAGAGCGGGATGCTTGCTGAAACAAATCAACACGGGCTTAAAGTGGAGGCCTAGCGTGTTGCTTTCTGAGCCCACCAGCGAGTACTCTCGCAGGTCGCGTTTCGAGCTTGAGCAGGGAACAGCTGAAAGGACACTGAACAACTGCAACCACAAGGTGGACATGCTCCAGCAAATCAACGCATGCAGGAGACAGATCAGTGCAATCAGCAAAACAAACTCCCCAAGGAGAGCTCCATCCAATCGGAGTGTGGGGCGATGGGCGGGCAGCTCAAAGAGGACTCTCTTTGGGTTGGCGTTCAGAGGAGATCAAGCAGTGCTGAGGGCTTTAGAACATGTCAATGCGAAGAAGTCAGTGTACCCCATGAAGGCAAACCAAAGAAAACTAAAGGACTTCTACCCTTGTGGATTGGCCAACCCTAAAAGGGGAATCCCCCCCCAAACAGAAGACACAAAAAAAACGTGGCTGGTTTGGATTGGGTGGTTTGGAGGGCCCGTTTACCCTCTACAAGAGCCAGTGTTTCAACCCACCAAAACACCAAACCAATCGAACGGCCCCAAAACTGGTAACCCAAACAACAAACAAAACACGCAAACTCCCGTCCTCGGGATCGACTGGCGGCACCGCCGCGCTTGTGCCGTCTCTGCGATCCACATAGTTTGCCACCTGCCGCCTGGACGACCAACCCTCTACTTCCCTTTAACCTCACCCCAACACAAACTCGCCTCAATCCAGCCAAAAGATGTGATAAAACTCACCAAAACAGGAAACAAAGGGGCTGAGGTGTCAAAACCAACATGAGACGGCGCAATTTCTGCTGCGTTCCAACTCGCAGGTTGGATGAAAGTGCACAAACACTGCTGCAAGGACTGTGGTCATAGCAACAAGAAAGGATCTACCCAAAATGTAAAGAGTTGAACAGGCGGCCGCGCCTTATCTGAGAGGGGGTGACCCAGCCTGAAGTAAGGCACCCCCTTGGAATGCGAATACGCGCCGAACTTTGGGCTGTGCGCCAGGTATTCCTCGCGAGCCCGGGCGAAGTTGACCGCTCTTGCAAATCAGTGTGGTGTCAAACGGGATGTGAGATGGGCTGGGACCAAAATAGACGTCCTTTTAGGGGGGACCAAAATGGTGGGTTTCGTCTTGGTTTTCCTTTAAACCACACCCAAAACGGGGTTTCCCAAAACAAGTCAGACCCAATTTCTGTTGAAACTGAAACATCCGACCCTGCAGAGATCTTGCAGGTCTGTGCACTCAGGGCATATCGGTGGCTTTTCCTGTACATACATATCATGACCCTGTCCCTTGGAAAACAACTGAGCAAACCTTCCACAGAGGCAACCGGGCGCGTTTCTGCCGTTTGAGTCGGCCCTTATTGCAACCCGAGGAGGCAGCTGATTGAAGTTTCGTGATTCAGTTTTAGCATTTGAGACCCACATCTGCAGTTGCCCAGTGGGTCCTTCGCTCTAGCAATGACATCGCTTGGGTACAGCGACGCCGCACTATCCTGGCCCGAGGCGCTTCGCGACATGCGCAAAACTAGGGAAACATGGCTTGTTTACTGGCCTTTTCGGGTGTCCTCCCCAAAGCAATAGTCGGTGACTCATTGGCAATTACTCTAATGAACATGGGACATTTGGTAAGATGCCCTGGTCTTTTGCGCGTGCGAGTCCCATGCCCCACCCAACTCTGCTATCTGGGATATCGTTGCAGGACCTTTGATCATGCTGAAGGCTGTCGAATATCATCCACATGCAGTGTTGCTGACCATCCATCTCTGTCATCTCCAAGCAACCACGTTGGTTGCACCAGTCCGCTCTCGCGACCGTTTTCCTCGCTAAACGCTGCACACTCGCCAAGGCCACTGCACCCCAAAACAGCAGTGTCAGGCAGTGGCAACATCACGCCGGCAGAATCACGCCATCTGGATGCCGCTCTCTGTCCTGGGATCGAACCAAACAAAAGCATCAGTGTGGACTCGGAATACGAATGAACAAAACAAACACAAAAGCAGGCAGGATCAACATGTCTCGGTGTTCCTTCAAACACCACGAAAAAAGGGAATACCAACTCCACACAATACATTATACCTGGAAAACCAAGTTGCTGGAAAAAATGGGGCACCAACGAAAGTTGCGAAAACATACACAACTGTTGAAATAGTGGTGTGTTTTTAATTCTCCGACTGGGCTAAGGCAGCTAGTCTAATGGCAACGACTCCTTTGTAGCAGTAACCAGAAAAATTGTCCTCATGTTGGACGATAGTTGCTTGCCCAGCAACTGTTCTGTTGTGTTTGCGAGCGCTGCAAATCTTGTTTTTTCAGCGATTTGATGGGCGGGTCACCGTCAGCGCCCGAAATTTCCGCTGCGTTGGCTGAAACGCTCGTGGGTGACAAGTGTGACGATGTTCGTACAACCACGCTGGTTGGTGCAACTATCAGTCGCACAGTCAGACAGTGTCGACACTCCTTTTTCTTTTTTTTAGCTAGCCGTGAACAACGCACACTTCCAGCTTTGAGCATGATGTCTCCTGTTAATCTCCGCTGCAAGGAAGCTTGCGATGGAAAGAGGAGGAATCATGAAAGTTGAGGCGGAGAGCCTTTGAATATTCTTTGCATGAGCTTGAACAATATCTTTCAGATTCATCCAACGGATGATTTGCCGGTGTCTATCCACGCCAGCCACTTTTGTACTTTGCCATTTGCGAAGCGGCCTGGGAAGAGCTTTCAGCGTGACGCCCATTGTTGTTTGTCGCTGTGAGGCATAAAGCTGTCCACCTTGTGCGACCCGTGGCTTCTACCCCACTTTAAGCAAACTGCCCGACGCCACCATGAAAACACTTCAAGCAAGACTCTGGTATTGCAAAGTAACATCTTGTCGGTTTCCGAGGCCAAGGGGCGCAAGTGGATCTGAGAACTTGCGAAAATGGCAATTGTTTGGCAAGCATGGCAAATTACTCCACTTTCACGCGAAAAACACACCACTTTACGCTTCGTTGTGCTTGCGAGCGGCGCAATTTCCCACGCAGTTGCCCCGCAATTACTCAAAAGGGATCGTCGGTGGGCACTCGGTGGCATCGACTTTTGCGCGACTGGCTTTAAAAGATGTGATAACACACAGGTAAACACATGATTAGATGTTTTCTTCGCACCCGTTGCATTTGGATGAACACCGGCGATGCCCCCCGAAATTTGCCCAATCCTCAAACACAAAACAATTCACAATCATGGCTGCCTCTTGGCAGCGTTGCCCGTATGTGAAGAAAATAGCTCCTACCATCAATTTCGATCTGAGATCACACGTCGTTTGCTGAGTGGAGACAAACAATTGCCGACTCTGTTCACCGCACCTCGGGTGTTCATGTTCAGCATTGCGATTGCTGAGTGCCATGGTCCCGAACATGTTGATGTTATATGTTGTGCAAGTTGCATAGACTTAGAACAACCTCAGTTGAATTTGACATGCGCAGGCTGCATCGTAATTTTCGGGCAGGATCACCAAAACGATGTGGCCTTAAATGTATAGATTTGTTTTTTTGCACGCAAACATAAGCTGTCAGTGCAACAGGCTTCATAAGAACTGAGCAATCGAGCAGCTTTCGCACGCAAAAACGATACACAGAAACAAAACAAGAGCCCAAAATATAGGGGTGCGCTCAATACCATTCGTTAATACGCTCTCATTGCGCCCGCAATGCACGATTGTCCCCCTTTCAGCACACCCTTTCGCACAAAGTCGAAAGCTGTAGCTTTTCAGTGAAAGTTGTATGTTTTTAGGAAAGTTGTGATTTGTTGCACAACTTTTGGAAAAACGGGCAAACTTTTAAAGTTGTACGAAAAAACCAGCAACTTTGGTCCTTCAGGTACATGTGTATAGACATGTACATATATAACATGCACTGGCCGATGTGGCTTAAACTAGATGCAAGATGGGGGATCCTTCTTCCTGATCCGTAACCGTAAGGGCGGCAACTACAGCAAAGCAAACCAATATACTGGTACCATCTGGAACAAGGATTAGGGTGTTATTTTGAACAACCCAAATAAAGTGCCGGAACTTTTGTGTGCCACTAGACCAGTGACTTCGAAAAGCGCCAAGCAACCAGGACCTAGACTTGGTCCGAAAGTGTATAATTCCCAAACTGAAAAAAAGGGACCCCTATTCTCACCACCTTCATCATGGGTGACTTCATGTTGCCAAGGCTCAAGTGAGCAGCGCCCAAAACCCATCGACTTTCTGCGTTCCTTGTATAACCCCCATGCGGTAGCAGAACCACACACTTAAATCGCCAGCATTGAAATTGGTTTTGGGCGCTCAATGAAAACTAGTGTGTTCCTCAAAACTATGGACCCGCTTTGGGTATTTTGATTTAAACAGAAAGATCAATAGGGTCTGAAATTTGGAAAACCACCGTGTTTCTTTTTCCCAGGCGTCATCCGCCTTAGGCGCTCGCGCTCCATCGCGAGCACCGAGTTCCACCTCTCCAGCGAGAGGACCTCCTCGCCGTGGGTGAGGCACACAGCCCGTGCCAGAGAGCGCCAGACGTGGACCGTGCGCTGACCCACGTCCTTTCAGACAGAGATGGTGACAAGGGGCCGTTCCGAAGGCCGTAGCTTTAAGGCTAAGGCGAAAACGCCTCAAGGCCATATCTTTGTCTCGCCATCGGGGATCCCCATGGGTTCATTGAAAGCAAAACTGGGGCGGGAGGGATGTGCACCCGAGAGCCTCGAAAAGAATTAACCGACCTGAAACAAAAATCCTGACGTGGTCCAGACATTGAATGGTCTGATTTGAGAGTGGATTGGAGCTTCAAGGGCGACAATCCAAGTGAAGGTACGTCACGACGATTTTGCTGCAATGACTCTGGTAACAAACAGGCGTCCCGACAGGAGGGTGTCAAAACGAGCTAGACCTCAAAGTGGGGCCAGCTTCAGTTCAAGGGCCATCCCAGTGGAGTGCCGAGTCTATACACATACCAATGCTCAAGTTCTTACCAGTATTGGACATTAAAAGATTTGTGGGTCCGCTTAGTTTGCAGACTGAAGGACCAATGGACGAATTGACCCAACCGCACAACTCCCCCAAGTTCAAGATAGAATCACTCCAACAGCTTCAGCTGAGTTGGCCCGATGACATTCGTGTTTCACAGCTCCATCCCTGTGGTTCCATTTCACTTACCGATGAAAAGCACAGGTTACCTGGGGCACACGCATGATTGTCCTCTAGTGCAAGATGGAATCCCTTTACCGGAGCCCATTTATCATGTGTCCGTGAAGAGCCTCCCGAGGGAGGGCCTCCCCAGATTTGGTCTTCTTGCATGTTTAATGTTGGTTCAGGTTTTCTGTGTTCTTCATGATGTGTGATCGTTGTTGGGGGTACTTTGCTCGAATCTAGCTGCAATTGCTCAACTCCGCCAAGTGCAAAGGTAACGGCAAAGGTGGGGCCCGCAAAGCAAACCTGCTGCGAAGTGAGGTGGTTTAGATCACCAGTGTGATGTTGAGGGCAGCCCGGTCTCCCAAATCAAGCAAGAATTTCGGAGGGGTTCCAAAATGTAACAAAAAATGCGATTGTTTGCTAGCAGGGCTTATTAAAGCTTATTACGCCTTATTAAGCTTTTATAAGGCTTAATAAGGCTTAATAAGGCTTGATAAGGCTTAATAAGGCTTAATGTGGTGGGGAGGCCCCCCCAAAAAACCTGCACAGGGACACGCTTTTGGCCCCCGCCCCCCCTTCCCCCTTCCCCCGTCCCCTCCTCCCCTCCCTTCCCCATCCCCTCTTCCCCCCCCTCCCCTCCCCCTACCACCACTTCTCAAAAAAAAATCCGATGTTTTGGTCCTTTTTCGAAGTATGGTACTTTGACTAGAATCCTAGGGCATGTGTTCTAGGCTGGATGTCTTGAAGGATTTGTTGAAAATAAGAGAACATGTCCGTTTTGAGCATTCTCATCTAAATAACAAATTATTAAGCTTTATTAAGCCTTTTTAAGGCTTAATAAGGCTTAATAAGGCTTAATATGGATTCGGGTCAAATCTGGGGAGGCCCTCCCTCGGGAGGCTCTTCAAGGACACATGAATTTAGGGTACAGCGACCATTCCCGGCAACGACCTTCCGAGAGCTCCCCTTGCCATGTCTCTGAATCAGGCTTGAGCAATCAAATATTCAATAGCCCTTCAGAGACAAAACCCAGGATGATCACACCTCAAACATGTTTGAAAAGCGCCATGGATGATTTGCGGCTCGGTCTGTTCGCAGAACCATTGTTTGAGGTTCCACTTGCTGGCCACCGGCTTCCGTTTGTCCGCTGAGCTCCGGTTCCAAGAGTGATCGATCATGTTCGATTTTTGATTTTCCGGGATGGAGACACCGGAACTGTACGCAACAGCCATGTGTCCATTCGGAGGTTTGGGAGCAACCCGTTCAACCTCATAGTTTTCAAGGTGACATTTGCGTGTCGCAGCATGCCAAACTTGTCTGATACATGTTCATGTTTTGAAATCGATGCCTCTTAAGTGTCTCCTCAAAACATGAGGCAAGAGAAACATTCTCCACCCCATATCTCCTAGTCACTCTTAGGCTGCAGTGGCTCCCGTTACTATGGCTCTGCATCAGCAATATGAAAGTTTCTTAATCTAGCGGACTCCTTTTGGGATGGTTTCAACAGGAAAGCCAAGGAAAACGAACCACCTGACGCCGTCCGTCATTTTGCGAAGCACCCTTATGACATGTTGCAACCACCCCTGCCTGATGCTCCTGGCGTATCTGCGCAAAGTCCTCGCTGAACCGAGCTGTCACCTCCAGGGAAAAGCCACAACGCCACTCTTAGTAAACATGATTAACAAAATGGTACAATTGAGCCCTCGGTTTAACAGTCCCCGGACGGTATTGTCACAGTCTCCTCCAACAGGTGTTGAGGCAACACCTTCCCAAAGAGAAATACACTTTCGAAAGCACATTGCATTTCTGCGTGGTTGTCTCGTCCTTGGTGGAGCGCCACTTGATGTTACTCAGAATTTAAAGAAGCTGTGGTTTTCTGGTTCATGGTTATCAACCAGGGGGACCCCTTTCCAGTTTGGCGAGTGGCATTCAACCAACATGGCCTGGCGCACAAACGCCCTTTCTGAACTGAACATCTTCTTACTCACTTGCCCAACGAGTTTGGAAAATCAAAACAACCTCTAAAAGGGGGAACAAAAAACGTCCAACGGTCGGCTGTGGACAAGTGGGCTTGCGAAAGTGGCCTATGCACCAAATCGCGGATTAAGCGGCAAGGAGAACATTTGCAGCGCCAGGTGAACCGGGAGTCAGCCAACTTAGGGGTCGCGATTGGCGTTTCGACAAATAGGGTCCTCCCAAAGAAAACGACTCTAATCGAGGTTTGATGGGTTCCATGTTAATTTCAGCCCAATTGGTGGCTTGAATTGGTGGTTTGGGGGGGGGGAGGTTGGTTGCCCATTGGGTCGAATCCCCAAACCACCAATCCAAAGCACCAATGATAATTGGGCTAAAATCAACATGGAACCCACCAAACCCTCATTGGGGATCTCCTTGTGGACTACCAAATCAGGGCGCTCTGATACTTTCCAGGGGTGCCACCAACAAACGGACCCCCAGCCCAACATTTCTCAATTGTCGCCTCCTCAGGCATGCTGAAGGGCCTTGCTTGCCGGGTGATCAGCGCTAGGAGGAACCTTGCCGCATCTAAGCCTTGGAAGAGCCAGAGATGGCATTTGCTTAGGATGCAACAAACACGTTCATATTGGACTGCCTGTCTTTCAAAGGGACGTACCCGTTTCATGTTGGTTTACAGGGAAACTAAACGGACAACCACAATTTCTGCAACCTCGGTATTAGGCACATACCCACATGGTCAAAACTCCCCGCATGTGGCCATGGTCATGGCTCCCCGACTCGGAATACTGCAATGTTTGTCCAAAATCACTAAGGCGCCCATAACCATCCATCCAACTGCAAGCAATTGGCAGGTGCTTTGACCCTAGATTTAAAGGGTTTTGGAAGACCCCTGCCCATTTCTATGATTGTCTGAAAGAGTACCACTACTCGTCCTTTTCATGATGCATGGCAAATTTCGCATCATCTGTATGGTGATCACTGTCCGAAATGGTTACACATGTTCCAACACGAAAACAACAAAGAACGGCTGTTTTGTTGTTGAGATCTCGACCGTATAAACACACTAAAGCGCAACTGGCTTGACCCAAAAAACAAGGATCTGACAAAGAAAAAGAACCGCTGTCAGGCAAGACGCCTGCGCCAACAGACGCCATGTCCGTAGTGACGTTCTGCGGCTGCAAAGGAACTACCACATCGGCCAGCTTCAGAATGGACACTCCCTTGGACACGAACCTCGAGATCCAACGCGGTTGGGGGCACTGCGGGGGCTGGAGGGTCGTCTTGCGTGTGGGACCCCATTAGGTGGTCAAATGGTTCGGCCTGTTCTCGGGAGTGTTTTGGCGACACAAAACGTGCCGTCTTTAGACGGGTGCCCCAAAGAAAGTGACCAATTGGACAAGCCCTCCAGTCTCAAGTGGTAGTTCACCAGAGCTGCAATGCGCCAAAACCATGAGCTCCTGCCTTTTAGTTGGAAAATGGATAATCTTGCCGGGCAAAGGGAGAAAGCTATGCCGAGAAACAGGCAGTTAACTTCCAGAGGGATCGGGACGTCGTAGCTGTTGAAGTCACATTGCAGCGTCTGATCTGTCACCAAGCTGTTCAAAGCTTGAGCGGCCCTCACTCCCACCTGTGCGCAAGTGTGACCAAATGACGCACATCCATTGAGAACCAAAACATGACCCGGAACACTGTTTGACAACAATTTGTTGCATGTGTGTGTGTGTGTGTGCGTGTGGGTGTGTGTGTGTGTGCATGTGTGTGTGTATTGTTCACATCGGAACGGGACTTCAATCACATGAAGCGCGGTGCCACCTTTGAAGGTCCAAACCCTCCTTTGTTTGCGGCATGTCATCTTGCCGGACCTCCCGAAAATTGTGGGTCAGCCAATCCCGATCGCTCGATCCCCAAAAAAAAAAACCGACGCACCAGACCCCACGCGACGGACCGCGTCGTGTCCACTCCGAAGCCGCTTCGCTGCGCCTCGTTCAGCGTGCCCTGGGCCATCTGCGCCTCGTCCAGCAGCACCGTGGTGCCGGGGGCGAGCTGCAGCTTCCCCGCCACCAGGCGGTTTGCCTCGAAGTCCTGGCAGGGTCAGTGCGGGGAGCTACCGGAAACCGCAGCCTATGATCGCTTTGAAAGGTGATGTAATTACTATCCAGGCGATGCTGTTGGCAGTGTCCAGGGTCCAAAATTTCAAATTTCGGGCTCCATCTCGACAATTGGAAGGGCGATGTTTCCAGCCGGTCCTCTGGAAAGTTCGGTGATGAACATAGGAGTCAAACGCACTGATATAATTGGCTACAAATGGCCATAAACACTGGCAATGTCTTGAACAATTGCACGAGTGTACAGGCGGGGGCGGGGGTTGGAACACCATCATCCACGTGAAGATGCACCCTTTCCGCTTCCATAGTTGCACAGAGTAGGTAGACCACCCCCTACCATACCTCCATACCTCCATACCTCCATACCTCCATACCTCCATACCTCCAATACTACCATACCACAATACCGCCCATACCACCCATACCACAAATACCACAAATACCACACATATCACCACCCCATTTTTCGTTGTCTCCTTACGGGGCTTCCAGCGGCCCCCACTCAACGTCTCCGCCGTGAGCGGCAAGTGTGCGGCCAGCGGCACGAGCTGCGACACCGCGCCGTGGAGTGATTTCGCGGTGTCCTCGAAAAAACTCCGCAAACGCATTGCCAAGTAGCGACTCTTTTTTGTGGGTGGCATTTTTGTTGGTGTTTGTTTCTTTTTTGAGTTAAGCCATGTTTGTGGCTTGAGGGACAACAAAAAAAACCGAAGCCATTTTAGGGGTCACCTAAACAAACACCCATATGAGTAACCAATAGCGACCAATTGTGGCTTGCCATATAGTAGCCGTTTGTGGCTAGGGGGCCATTAGAGTCATAACCTTCCAATATTTCGTCTGGATAGAAATGTTGGTCCTGGTAAAGGGAATCCAAATGAACCGAAGGACACTTTTCGCCAATCTTCTACTTTAGTGCTCTGGTCAACGGTTAGCGCCTGAGCAACCCCCAACTTGGCATCCTCGTCATGGGCGATTCCTGAAACAAGGGGCAACCCAATGGCAAGGTGTATGTAGATAGATAAATATGTATATATTAGCTGTATCTATACTTGCTGCCAATATGTAATATAGTACCCAGTGCTTGTCCGGCGAAACAGTTTGTAAGCTTGTTGGGTGCCTTTGGAGTCCTTAAAGTCAGGTTGGATTTGGAGTCCTCAAAGTGGAGATAATCAAGCTAATTGTACTCCAGGACCGGAGTAGACATACATGGCTAGATTTATACCTGGTTGAGTGCCCAGGGCTTCCCCTCTTAAAACTGGGCGAACCAAAGGTCGATCAGCTTTGATGGATTCAACAGAAAGCCGCCCCTTTAATTTGTTTCAAACACATTGGCCCTTTCGGGGCGATTTGGTCACACCAAAGACCAGCCATGCAGGTTGGAGTTGGAGTAACCCGGGAAGGAAGATTGATGGAGCGTTTGTAGTGATGCTTTATGTTTAAAACAGGAAGACGAGCTTTCCGTCTCAATTCCCGATGTGCAGGAACTCTTAAGGTACATCAACATCAATTTTCTGAAAGGATCTCAAGGAAGAAGTACAGCTGGAGAAATTCCATGCGGGTGCGGTCTGTACTCAAAGGACCTCAAACATGGTCTTCCTTCTGGCTTCCCGGTCAACCTGAAAAGGGTACCCTCAAGAACATCCGCCCCCCATGGAAGCCGGCACGGGCAGTCCTCTGGCCAGTGGGAGATGTTCAAGGACCATTGCCCCAAAGCCATGCCGCTGGTGTGGCCATAGACACCTCGGGAAGAACAAAACGCCCGGGGCAAAAACAAAAGTGGGTGTGTCCAAATAATGGGACCCCCAACGTTGGTTGTTTCCGTTTAGTTTCCCCTAAGGAGACCTCAACTTTCAATCAACACTGAATATAACACCTGCGGTCAGGTGGTTGCTTTCCTTCTCAGTCTAAGGGAGGTTGCTTCTCTTGTTCCGGCAGTCTTGTGCTCCCTGGCCCCCTAAGAAAACCAAGCCACCCAGTGGATCCACTCAATTACGTAATGTCAACCCATGAACACCCCCTATGAATCATACCAGTTTATCCACCCGAACTCAACATTCTCCCTATGGGTAAGCATAAGAAACCATCATTTAGACCCTGCGGTTTAAACATGTTGACTTGCTCACTATAGCAACTGGAGCCACTGGGCAAACAACAGTTGCGTGAAACCTCAGGTCCAGTCCGCTGGTAGAAAACGGGAACCCGTTTGGGGGTTGACTCAGTTCAGTGGCACCGACCATCGGTACCGCTGAACTGAGTCAAAGCCCTTGCCAACGCGAGTTTTGCAAATCAGGAACTTGGCTCTGACGTTCTCAACCATGAGGACTATACCGACTATGAGTTAGGCCCTGGCTTTGTCGGAGAGCACCGGCCTCCGAATTTGGGCTTCAGGAATTTGGGGATGAATTGGTTGGAGACTCAAAAACTGTGCTTCGGTCCACATCTGCACAAGAACAACTGAGACTTGGGTGTTGACGGCCACCACTGAAAGGGATCCCTGCGAGTCTTGGTATCCTGGGCATGGAGTTTGAGGGCCTAGGGCCATGTGCAGAGGGCTGGGCTCTTTGTCCGCATCTCGGGCAACTGGGGCTCTGGGGCTTGCTGCTCGCTTTCTCCGGGCCACGGGAAGCCAGCAGCGCCAAGACGTACTCCGCGGCCAAGGGGTCCTTCAGGGACTGCTGCAGCAGGCCGATGGCGGCGCTCCTTCGAAGCGGCTCTTGGCGATTTGGCCGGGACGTTCACCGAGCCATGAGCCGAATGGTGGTTCAAAGGGGCGCTCGTGCAAATGCAGTTTGGAGAATGCCGAGAGTCCATTGTAGGATAAACCCGACCTTTTGAATGAGGGTACGGATTAACCACTTACCGGCGATCATCCAACAAGTCCTTCATGACCACGATGGCAAAATACTGCATCCTCTTATTCACAGTTGTCAAAGCATGTCAAAGCGACACAAAAAAAGCAACTACTATTTGGCAGAAGGATTCAACAAGAACCTGCCCAAAGTAGCTTGCCCGAAGCGTCATGAACAATCAGTTGGCATCCTCAACCAGGTAGAGTTACACACTTAGACACAAATTTGAGATGTTATCCAGGAAACGGGTCAGCCACAATTGGAGCACCTCGGCCGACTCCAACTCGCTCCTCGCTTGTTGCAGGCCCCCCAGGCCGCGCTGGTAGGCCTGCGCCAGGCGCGCCTCTGAGAGGAAGGCCGGGCTGAAGGGCAGCGCGGGGTGGTAGAAGGGAAGCCGCCGCACCTAAGGAAACCGGAGCTGTCTCGACCCGTTTGTCAGGAGCTCAAGTTGTTGCTGTGGGGGGAACAAATCATCTTGCCAAGAGTTCAAGGTCAAAACCAAAAAGCACCGGACAAATAGACATAAACAAACAAATAAAGAACACACAACTCATACATAAACAAGTGCACAAACGCATGAACAAAACACAAACAACACAAACCAATTCCTGTGCCTGTCACTGTTGACATGTTTTTGCTCTGTTTCTCGAGCCAAGGCGCCACGAGCCCGTGCAAACGGGGCACCAGGGCCGTGGATGGACTCCTTGCAGCTCGATATCGATCCATGTTTGCAAGCGCCCGTCCACCCCTACGAGGTCGTGCGTCTTGTTTTAGGAATCGGACCCCTCCCCCCGGCCATTTTTTGTTGAGGGGGGGGGGGCCCTTTTGGTTTTCCTTCAAAAGCAACCAAAAAGGGGTTCCCTCAGAAAAGAACGAGCCACCCAATTGAAGCCCCAGCTTTGTGAGTTGGTGAAGACTCAATGGCCAAACTGAACTGATGAGTATTATCCAACAGCGATAGGTAGAAATGCCCCTTGCATGTGGGATCTTCTTTTAGGGGGTCCCCATCTTGTTGGTTCTAGACTAAAGAGAAACCAAAAGGAAACCAACATCGTTGGGTCCTGAACTACCAGTTGTTGGGACTTTCAGACCTGTACGATCCTTGAACTGTGGGCAACCGGGTAATAATGGACACGGCCAGAAAGGGACACAGAAAGGAAACCACATTTTGGGAATCTCCTGTTTTGGACACCCATGTAAGAGGTTGACAAGATGCAGTTGGCCAACTTTGGGTACCACTTTGAATGGCGGCACGAAACGACAGCCCTTTTCACGTCCCAGAAGGGTACCAATTTTGGACGACCGCGCATTCAAATCCAAAAAGGGGGTGCCCAGACTTCCGTTTGGCTCTTTTAGGCCTAAAGGACCAAGGACCCGAAAGAACCCTCAAACCCGAGCTCTCCCTTGCTGACTCACCCAAAGAGCCCTTCCCAGAGCCACTTCCCGGAGAGTCCACAACAAAGCACAGCTTTTCAAACTTATTCACCTAATTTATGGCCAAAATGAGTTGGCATGCTTTGATACAATAAAAACTAAGATGCAGCAGTTCCGTTTGGTATCGTAGTTCAACACCGGCGCATGTGTCGTGTCCAGGTATGGATCTAAAATGTTAGTTGATCACCCCTCGTATTATTCTATGTGAACCAAACAAAAACCAGCGGATTTAATCCCCAAATCAACAGAGCTGTTTCCCGGAAACCAACCACGGCCATTCCACCCTCTCGGGCGCTGGGGGCAAGAAACCAAAAAAAACATGGGTTGCCCTGAACCCACAAAGAAATTAGACGCACTCCACAACAAATTCTTAGTCTTGTGCCCACGACTTGAGGAGGCATTCCCGCAGCCGGTCAATTATAGGCGTGTGCCCAAAGAGAATCTTCCGGTTGGTTGAAAGGCATTCTCAAAATGGTCCCTGGCTTCGACACACACCCGAGCTCAATTTGTTGGACGTGAAACCAAGACAAACAACGGCCGGCTAGCTTTCACCCCACCCGAACATTTAGCATGGCCAAAGGCAAACTTTCAGAGAGCACCAAAACAACCCGGGTTCTGCAAAGTGACATCCTCGAGGTTGAGTTCTAAATGCGGTTTCAAGGTAAACCACCCCAGTTGGGTCAAAAGTTGGACCCAGCTCCTGGCATCGTAGGGCCAAGATGGTGCGTCCCCCAAGTTGGCCATGGAGGGATCCACGCAAAGCACCCCCAGGATCTCGATACTCTCGCAGAGCCGCAAGGATTCCGCGTCCTCAAGCGCTTTGCTTCGCGAATCAAAAATCATCCTGTCCACATGCAAAACCAACCAGAAAATGTTCCCTGTTGGGGAGGGGGGGGAAACGGTCTTCCATGACCCACATGCTCAGGTTGCGTGTGAGTGGAGAGCGTCTCCTTGATTGCGGATTCTGAACAAACAGACCGATTCCAAAAATGCCCGAAGCCGGATTCCGGAAAAGCAAATCCCGAAGGTATCCTTCAACCTAGAGCTCAAGCAAATGCGCTACGGATACGTATGCCCGAGACACGTGCTCCTCTAAGCCTAAGAACCCAAAACTGTCCTCGTCGTAGAGTTTCACGATACAGGCGGTGGCACGCTGGTCCTCTCTCTTTTTTCCAGGCGGGGGGGTGAGGAGGCGAGGAGGCGTGGGGAAGGGGGTGCTGGGATTCGGAAAGGAACAGTGTACACTTGTAACAACTTGTAACAAGGAATAACCCGTCTTGCGTTGGCTTGTGCTTGATTTATCTGCATCTTTAGGGAATGCAAGGTACCAAAGCACATCGTAAAGCAGTTCAATTCGTTCCTTCTTTATTGGCAAGAAATTTGTGAAGACCGGGTTGACCCTTGCTTTCTAGCTGACGAACCAGGGGGGACCACTCGCCACCCTTTTTGGGAAGGCTTGTCAAGCTCAGGCTTTCACCTTTCGCCGGGCAATTCAAACGTGGTTGAAACCGCGGGACGCGGGTCCTCTTCCCAGGGCAATGGGAAGTTCAGGCCGAAGGAATCCGAGTTCCTGGCGCATCAGGAATCATCGCACAAAATCACCCCCCCCAAAAAAAACAGGTGCTACCGGTCAGGGATCTATGTTCGTGTTCCAATCACTTCAACCACTCCGGCCCTTCACGCGGCCCGGCATTCTTCCCGAGGTCCACCAAGTGCTGGGCATGAAACCACTATGAAACGGATGCGTGTCAAAACGGGTTCAATTTCAAAGGTTCAAAACTGGTGCCCATCTTGGGCAATCTGCTCAGTCCAGAACAACTTTGGGCGGTTTGGTCCTTATGATTGCCCGTGAACTGGTTACCAACTCGCACGAAAACCGACGACACCCCACCTGGCAGGAGTCGGCACTGGCGCCTGCTTCTGCCTCGGCTTCTGTGAGACCTGCGGCGCGGCTTCCGCCGCGGGCTCCATGTCGGCCATGTCTACGTCCTCGCGGGCCGCCCAGCTTTGGACGATTCGTCACGTGGGTGAGTGCCCAAAACCCAGTCACGGGTGGTTCTGCCAAGGTGGTATGGGTCAATTGTAGGTCTTGCAGCACTACTACGAACTTAGTAGAACCACCCAAAATGGCCAATGGAGGTTTTGGGCACTCAAGAAACAGGACGCAACCAGCCAAGCACATCACACCAACCTTAATGGTTCAACCCCTTGCATAGTCTTTACACTACAAAATAAGAAAGAAAAGCAACCGGTTTCAAGGCCCTCCCCCTTCTACTCTGATCCCCTAGCTCACCGTTGACAGGAACACGAGTCGGGTCAACCCTCAATCCAAAATGTATGACTTTCGTGTAAAACAAGGGGAATTGGTTTTGGGTCGGTTGCCCCCTACCACGAAATCCCGCGAACTTGTCCTCGTCCCTGGAGCGCTTGGTCCGGGCCTGGCTTTGGCCCGCGGAAGCCGCTGCCGTGCGCCCGGCCGCCGCGGCGGCCTTGGCCCAGGGCGTCTCTCCAGGCAGCGGCACGCAGTAGTAGGCGCCCCGGGTGCCCAGCCCGTTGCGACCCAAATCCTCCGCACAAGTTGTGGATTCTGGCTTGTCACCAAATCACTTCCCTTCAACTAAACAGCTAACCCCTAATTGGTGGATTGGATTGGTGGTTTGGGGATTTGAACCCCTGGCTTTTCTAGAGGGTAAATGGAAAACCACACCCTAACCAACAAATCACCAATCCAAGCCACCAGTTAGAGGGAAGCTGAAAGGGGGTTGAAAACAAAGAGATCCCTCAAAATATGGTTAGAAGGATTCCAGTTCAATTTGCGGGGACGCGTTTAAAAGGCGTCCTGTAAGTCCTTGCCACCCGGGAGGGTCTCCCGGTACTTGGTGGTCACAAAGCGCTGCGCTTCGCGGTCCAGCAGGAGCATGGAGTAGAGCTCAGGCTCGAAAACGTCCTGGGGCTTCTCTCAGCGCAGTTGCAAAACCGGGCGGCCTTTTATGTTGCATTTTACGGGAACCCCTTCCCAAAGAAGAGCAGGACTCGACAACTGGGTTCCCGCAGACAAGAAACATATTTTGCAATTCTAAAGGGTCGCCCCTTGTAATTTGATCATTTTTGGAGGCGAGGAGCCCTTGGCAGACTCCAGTCAACGAAGGGAAGCAAGGGGGAATGTTACGAGAGAACACCCCAGAAATGCTCTCAGAACACTACGAACTCTTAAGGAGGCTTGGCCTATGCTGCCAGGCCTTTTATCAGAGCTTGATTCCTGTGTTATTTGCCGGGCATACGATTCATATCTGCGGTCATGACCATGTTCAGATCTCGACCAGTGACAAACCATCTTCAGCCGCCGCTTCAATCAAGAACGGTGGCCATGGGGCCATGTAATCCTTAGGTAAATAATGTCCTAAGGGGCGAAATAAACTGAATGGGGGCTTGGAGTGCCAAGTCATGACGGGACAATCCTCTCGTAAATATTCGGGCAATTGTGGTCACTTGCGCTAATCCTACAAGGGTGGAGCCAAGAAAAGCTGATGGGGTCCAAGCGCATTCTTGGCCTTCATCCCAAGGAGCAACAAATATATATATATATATCTTTCCTCATGTATTGCCTAAACCAAGGCCCGTCCGAAAGGCAAACGGCTAGAATGCCAAGTCTGGAATTCCATTACCTGAACCCGGAACGCCCGTCCTGAACCAAACACCTGTACCGCACCAGGCTAAACGGCGGGATTTCCTCCGCCAGCACATCGTTCAAGCACGGCACCCGGGCAAAGTTCTCCTGGCCATTGCCCCCAGAAGAAAGCACCTGCTAAATCAGGGCCTCTGCAGCCCTTTTACTATTAGTCTTATTCTCTTCATATCTGTTTCCATTTTCACACTATTCGATTGTCAAGGATGGCTCGGCAGTCCGGAAAGGCCCATCGCTTTCTTTCTCGTCTCTTCGATTCCTAACTCCCGTCCCATCTCTCCGCTTCTCGTTTACACAGAAGAGAAGCAACCGGAGGTCATCCTATCTCTCCCTGACCGAGAGAGACATCATTTCAAGGTGTCTGTTCCATTCTCTGAATTCCTTTCTCCAATTGTCTCATTGTCAAACTCCTGGAAAATGGGTGAGAATAAGTCAATGGGAAGGTTGGATTTTCCTTTTCCGCAGCAACGAGCACATGCCAGCCAAATGATATGAACACCCGCTGAAGCGAGCCTGCACAGCACTGCGCAGATGCCAGCCAAATGATAAGCAATACCCGGTCCACTAATTAGATATTGCACATGACTTAGATAGAGTGGCATTTTCTCTTGCGTAAATTGATCAAGCTTGCGGGCCTCGCACTAGGCACCACGAGTCCCTGCGGGCACCAGTGAAAATGGCACTTGCTCTATTTCGGGCAGCACTTGGTCATGCACACGGTTTAAGGCCAACGAGTTCTTTTGGCCACCCTGCCTCATTCTCCAGCTCGAGCGTTTTCACAAAGTGAGCCTTCTCCTGCCACTCACTTGGCGGCTTGTCCCCGGTGCACCTCGCGAAGAGCTCGTCAATCACTCCTTATTTGCCAAGATTTTGTCAGAGAGAAGAAGCCAGCTTTTGTTACACAAGGTTGTTCCAAAGACCCTGGCAAAAGGGAGGTACGTTGGTTGCCCCAAAGGAAACCAAACCAATGTCCTACCCCTGCAACTTGATCAACGTTTAGAGGCCCACTCTAAGCCTGCGTAGTTTAGAGCCAAACCCACCTAACAGGGCACCAAAGGAGAACCCACCAAACAAGAAGAAACTAAAATCAAATCGAGTGCTCAATCGTCTCGGACTCCCAGCGGATTCGAGATCTCCCGAGCCATGGCGCCCTCTGCAAATCTGAGCCAACTGCTTTCGCGGCTCGACCGGGGCGGCGAATTCGGGGCCTATGCCATGGAGCCCAAAGCCAAACGTCGAGCGGAACATGGTGACAGTCAGGTTTCATTCCTGGGGCCATGCCATTCTGCTGTGACAACAAGCAGTCTGCAGTGATCTGGCTGTTCGAAAACGGGCAAATGATTGAGGATAATTGTTCGGACATTAAGTCAAGCGCGCACATATATGCATTGCAGGTAGCTGTTATACCTAACTGTGGATGACGGATACATGTTTGCTTTCCGATCCAGTGCAAAAAGCTCTTCCCTCGAATTGCTGGTTTGGATGGGGCCGTTTCCCCTTTACACCTTCAAATCCCAACCACCAATCCAAACCACCAAAGGTTGCCTGAAGCGTGTGGCTTGTGGGATATGTCATGAATTCCTTTAAGCTCCAAGAAGCTAAAAGTCCGGTGATCTTCGACTGCAGTGATTCCTGTTTCCAGGGGAACATCCGCTTGTGAGCCGTTGGAACCGAGTTCAAAGCACGCGTGCCTCCAGCAACATCGGGTTGCTGAGCAGCGAGATCACCTACCCAGACGCTCACGGACCCGTGAGGGGTCCCGTCTTTGCCCCTTAGGGGCACCCAAGAGCCCTCAAATAGCTCCTTTTTGGAGGCCCAGGCAGTAATGGTGAGCCTTTCAGAGAAAATAAAAGCTGGGTTGGTCCAAAGATCCAATCCTCAGGGTAGAAAGTGGCCCCTGAAGAGAAACACAAGAAGACCAAGCCCCTGTTTTTCTCAGACAAACCATGTCTTGGGTTGTTCCCCCAATTCACCACAGGAGGTGGTTCCTTCCGACCCTTTCCAAATATCCACGCATGGGCCGTGAAGAAACATGGGTGTGAGGCTCGGTATCCTGGGTTGGTTCGAAGGGGAACTGAAAGGAAACCAATCACTTTAGAGGTCCATATCCTATTTTGAGACAAACACAAATGGCTTCTCTCAATGTCAAGGACGACCCTCCCGTTCTTTCCAGCCGGGCGCTGAAGCATGGGTCGAATCCGAAGCCAACTCCCCGCCTGTCTATGGAAGGTGATCGGCCGCGCCCCGACTGCCTCTCAGATCACCATGCGGTTGCCCAAACTTCTCGATGGATATGGGGTGCTTCTATGACTCCACCATTTGATGTGTGGTTTGCAGGGAAACCGAAAGCCTGGCCCGAAATGAGCTTCAGAGTTCCCTTTTGTTTCCCGATGGAGGCTGACAGAAGGGGTTGGCAAAGAGTCTTCTGGATGGGTGGAAAAAGGGCACGTGCCATGCACATGTGAGTGAATAACACGGTATCCACCAGAAGGCACTATGAAAACCGCGCCTGGGGGTTGCCGATGTTGCAAGCGACCAGCTCATCGAAGGGCAGTCCGTGGTCTCTTTGTTCCAGCTGCTCTGCCAGCTTGAAGGACCGCGTCCTCAGTCAACCTATCCTCACTTGCCCTATTAACAACTTGAGCAGCGGGGCCCCAAAACAAGAACTGACTTTTAGTTCTAACATGGTTATGAAGGTTTGCACTATGCACAGGCCTTACACGGAGCCCCATGAAACAAGGCAGAACCTACTATGATGGCCCACTCGGGAATCGTTGTTTGTTCGGGCGCTATGGGGGCACGCGTTCTTCGTAGGCACACTACCCTTGAAAATTAGAAAACTTGCCTAGCACTTGCAACTTTGTTTTTTTGGTCGCTGGGTGCCATTGGGATGGGAATCGACATCTGTAAACACATGTGGCTCCCAAAACCCATCGATTTATTCTGCTAACATGGTTCTAAGGTTTGTATAGGTCTTACCAGGCAGGCAGTGGAACCTGGAATTGTTTCGGGCGCTGCTCACACCATTCGGATCACATGTAACTTGGAAGTTTAACATGGCCTAAACGGAGACAACAAACAATAAAGCTTGGCTTTGGTCAGTGGATGCAGAGGTACTGGGCCCCCGTGCACGATCTCCCCGCGCACGGCGTATTCGGCGTCGAGGATCCTCTGAGGCACCTATCCGATAAAATCGGATTCATTTCCAGGGGTCCCTTTATTTCCAACCCAAAAATATCCACAGGAAACTCACCTGACATTGGCCTGCGGTCAATGAATCCGCTGAGACGCCCCCGGCCAGTCGGCGTGAGGCCCGCAACAAAAGAACCCGGCGGAGTCACGCCCAAAGCACCTGACATTGGCCCAAAAAGGTGATAATTTAAGCCACCAAAGGGACATGTAAGGAACTCGGTTTTCCTCACAGGGAAAACCACAACAAAACGTGCGACGGGAACATGAGATTGTGTGTTTGCTTGTCAAACCCCATTGCAGTCATCAAACGGTTGGCAAGCGGTTTTGCTCGGGAAGAAGGATCTTGTCGTTTCCTAGTGGTCTTTTTGTAGGGAGCCAACGGTCAGAAAAAGAAGACCTGGACAAGTCTCCCGCCACTGCACAACTGGACAATCAAATCATGGTAATGTTGACCTACGATTAGTAAATAGACCATGAATAATGCTAAACTATTTCAAAAAAAATAATAAATATACCATGAATAATGCTAAAAGTTTTTTCCCAGGGGAAAAAATATAAAAAAAAATGAAAAATAATATAAAGTAATTCAAACAAATAACCTTCCCCCCACAAGAGTGAATGAATCCTGAGTTCCCAAGCTCACAAAAGAACATAGAATTCCCATTGGGATCCATGCAAAATGCAGATTTTTATTCAGGGTCAGTGCTCCCAACCCTCATCCCCCATGGAATTTGCATGGTTTCATAGTGAATTTATCCAGGGATCATGCCAGGGAAACCTGATTTTCCATGGGATTTGCATGCTTCTGGCATCTAATCTTTATTCAGGGTCAGTGCTCCCAACCCTCATCCCCCATGGAATTTGCATGGTTTCATAGTGAATTTATCCAGGGATCATGCCAGGGAAACCTGATTTACCATGGGATTTGCATGCTTCTGGCATCTAATCTTTATTCAGGGTCAGTGCTCCCAACCCTCATCCCCCATGGAATTTGCATGGTTTCATAGTGAATTTATCCAGGGATCATGCCAGGGAAACCTGATTTACCATGGGATTTGCATGCTTCTGGCATCTAATCTTTATTCAGGGTCAGTGCTCCTCATCCCCCATGGAATTTGCATGGTTTCATAGTGAATTTATCCAGGGATCATGCCAGGGAAACCTGATTTACCATGGGATTTGCATGCTTCTGGCATCTAATCTTTATTCAGGGTCAGTGCTCCCAACCCTCATCCCCCATGGAATTTGCATGGTTTCATAGTGAATTTATCCAGGGATCATGCCAGGGAAACCTGATTTACCATATGGGATTTGCATGCTTCTGGCATCCTAATCTTTATTCAGGGTCAGTGCTCCCAACCCTCATCCCCCATGGAATTTGCATGGTTTCATAGTGAGTTTATCCAGGGATCATGCAAGCAAAACCTGATTTACCATGGATTTTGCATGCTTCTGGCATCCAATCTTTATTCAGGGTCAGTGCTCCCAACCCTCATCCCCCATGGAAATTTGCATGGTTTCATAGTGAATTTATCCAAGGATCATGCCAGGGAAACCTGATTTACCATAAGATTTGCATGCTTCTGGCATCCAATCATTATTCAGGGTCAGTGCTCCCAACCCTCATCCCCCAATTGCATGATTTCATGGTGATTATCCAGGGATCATGCAAGAAACCTGATTTACCATGGATTTGCATGCTTCTGGCATCTAATCTTTATTCAGGGTCAGTGCTCCCAACCTCATCCCCCATGGAATTTGCATGGTTTCATAGTGAATTTATCCAGGGATCATGCCATGATTTACCATGGGATTTGCATGCTTCTGGCATCTAATCTTTATTCAGGGTCAGTGCTCCAAACCTCATCCCCCATGGGCATGGTTTCATAGTGAATTTATCCAGGGATCATGCCAGGAACCTGATTTGCCATAGGATTTGCATCTTTTGGCATCAATTCTTTATTCAAGGTCAGTGCTCCAAACCTCATCCCCCATGGAATTTGCATGGTTTCATAGTGAATTTATCCAGGGATCATGCCAGGGAAACCTGATTTGCCATAGGATTTGCATGCTTTTGGCACTCAATCAATCTTTATTCAAGGTCAATCATCACTCTCAATCTCATCTCCCTCCCTCTCCCCCTCCCCCCATCCTCCAAGAGCAGCAGTAGCAAATGACCACCACCACCACCACCATACCACCACCACCACCACTACCACCACCACAATCCCTTTCAGCCCTGGTCCTTCAATCTTGGGCACCTTATTCGCGAGGAATGCCTCCTTCTTCATCCAGTAGGCAAACGCCTTCATGGCAATGCACCTCAGGCATCCAGTCTGAAATCTGCATTTGCTGCATGGTGCTAATCTTGTCTCAGCCATCCTGATCTCCATGCTTGCCTCATGGCTCAAATCTGATGCCCTGAAGAACTTGCTGTTCTCATTCATTGCCTGCATTGCTACTAATGCTGAATGACACTTCATGTCCTTCAATTTGTTCAATTTCTCATTGGCTGCTGCATATGCATCATCCTGCTTCTTCTTCAGATTGTATGCTTTCTTCTCAATGTCCTGCATATGCTGATGTAGCTTGCTGGATTCTGTGCTCAATACCTTCTTAATCTTCTGCATTCTGATCTGCCATTCCTCCTTGATTGCCATTGGCCATCCCCTAGATGCTGGGCCTTCAACATGGGTGCATGCCTCAATCTCCATGTATGCAATGACAAAATATCCACAATCAGCTCCTTTCTGGCGAACATGGTTCCTGCATTCCAGTTTGATATTTGCTGCATTCTCTCCTTCAAACAGCTTCACAATCTCATGGGCATACTTCAGGCATTCAGGATGTCCACCTTCCAAGGTGTCATAGTAATGCCACTGATCCCCTTTCTTCACCAATAGGGTCCAATGCTTGGGCGCTCCATGGGCAGGGATTGGGATGCACAAAGTAT